ATATATAATATATATATATATATATATATATATATATATATATATATATATATATATATATATAAGTAAGAAATAAGTGCAATTCAAATTTTACCTCCAATGTACCGTCTTCCGGCAAGTCAGAACAATGTATAGCGTTTTGTATTTTCGTTTTTCCATATTTGGCTCTAAGTGTATTCGGTCTGACTTGCCGTGCAATATCCTGTATTAAATAAGTATGTCAATAACACGAAGCAAAACAATTAAAGTCAGTTTACACTTACTGGATTTATTGGACCGCATAAATTTCTGAAGTCTGCAACTATGTTAGGATTTTCGTCTTTATGACTTATTTCCATAACAATACATGGACCTGATTGTAATTCTGTTACCATTGCCTATAACAAGAGTGTTTATGAAAGTAATAGCTTTAGAAATAATAATAAATTATAAAATAAATGAAAACATACGGTATATTCAGAAAGAACTCCTTTATATATTTCTAAAAATTCTTCGGAATTAATTGGATTAAGATAAAATTGTTGTGCTGCAGTGATCATGTAACCTGCTTTTTGAATGTCATCGATAATGTCACCTATATTACAAACATAACGTTAAGAAGAAAATACATTACAAATTTAAAAGTTTTCAAGTTATAAACAATTCTATTAGTCCTTACTTTATAAAAAATATAGATATTAATATATTTATAATTATTAACAATTTATAATATATTAACAAATTTAATTTACCAAGAAGCTTTTCCTGTACAGCATGTGGTTTGATAATGCAACAGGTACAGTTTTGTAGTGTTGCAGTATTTGCTGGACCTTTATTCTTATTTTTTGAATCAGGAAAAAAATATTGTAACTCCTGAAATTTAATCAGATATTAATCAGATATTATCAAAATCAAATATTATCAAAATATGTGTTTTAAAAAATTCTATATTAAAATGATATATTTGATTATATATTTGCATCAAGATTTACCTGTATTGCTGTTTCAGCATCATTGGATCCGTATACAGCATTATATATTTCGTCTTTTCCATAGCAAGCTCTTAATGAAGATGCTGCTACTGAACGAGCATGCTTGCTATCTTCTGGACCTGCTAGTTCTTGCCATTTCATTATACCATTTCTTCCTAATAATTCTAAAGCAACAACAGGGCCAGAAGTAAGATAATTTATAATAGACCTAAAAATAAACTTTCATAACTGTCCATAATTTATTAAAGATTAATTTATTAATGATTTACTTTCAAAAGTATTAATAGCTCATAATTTAACTTACGTCTTATCAACTACATCTTTTGCAAGACAACATTCTATAATATCGTTTGGAGTTAATCTTATCATTTTTATATTTCTGATACAAAAATCATTATTTGTAATGATTTTTAATATTTCACCCATTTTGTCAACAACGTCTGGTTTCAAAAGTACAAAAACTCTAGAAAAGTATGATTATTTTAATTCAGAAAAAGATTTTAAATACTAGAGATATCATGAAATATCATGAAACTACTCATTTATTTACTTTTGTAATTGTGTTTCTATTTTCATTTTGGTATAGGTATCTGCATAACCTGTGATTTTCATACATCTTGAAAATATTGTCAATATTGTACCAATATAAAAATCCTTAATCTTAATACCTTCACATGTTGTTCTTCTTAGGAATGTCTTCTTTGTTTTTAGATCAAACTAGAATATATATAAATTATATATGCCTCACTTCATTTTAGAATTTTAAATATCTGCTATATAAAAAAATGCTTCATAAGAAAGAATTCAAATATATTTTATATATTGTAAACTTTTTTAAAACTTTTTATATCTTTTTAAAAGCAACCATTTTCTTGCATTTATCTAATTTGCATTTATTATATTATATTGCATATAAAAATATTAAGATGAGATAATTTGAAAATAAATATCTCAAGATTTGTTATTTAAATATGCCAACAAAAAAATAACAAATATCTCATAAATTATTGATCTTTTAATATTTTCCTATAGGCAAGCAATTAGAAAAAACATATTAAATAATAAAAATCATAAGTTCTGTTTGAGAAAAGGGATTATTTTTAAAATTTTTAGACACAATAAAATATTGTTGTACTATATCATATTATGTGTCTCACAAAACTAAAACCTTTATTTTAATCTTTAAATTTTTTTCTATTATTTAAAAAGAAAGATAATTTAAATTTCTTGAATTAACTGGAACACCCTGTATAAACATATTTATGTAAAATATTAATTTAAAATGTACATACCAATTCGATAGTATTATCAGATGGATAGTAATACAAATAAAATTTCTTCCGCATACAGGCAATTTTGTCATACCATTCAGCTTCAAATACATATCTGTCATTATAATCTGCAGACATTTCGGATCTTATCTTATTGTATCCTAGCGTATTGTTGCCAATAATTAAAAATATATGAGGAACTTTAAAAGAATGAGCCTCCTAGAATGATTTATAAATTCGTATTTATATACATAGAAAAACTTTAAGTTGATTTTCAGTTTCAAATTTAATTCGTTTCGCATGTGTAGTTATATCCAGGATATTTCAACAATATCAAAGCAAAGAAAGAAATTCAATGGAATGACAAAAAGCAACAAAAGTAATTGCTTTGACAGAAAGAAAAGCATCAAAACTGACGAAAACAGAGGTTGTATCTAAGAAACACAACGGTTAAGTGAATGCTCAGTAATCGTTGCATATGATTGGAGCAGGCTTTTAGATTGATATTGAATTTAGAAGAATGTACCAATAAGAGCGAGCGTTCACTTAATGGTTGCACAATCGTTGTATTTTCTGAACGCAGTTAATCATAACTGAAACAAGTTTGAAGCACTGCATCTGCAATAGATGAAGTAAGCCTTAAGAAATTGACCAATCACAGTTGAATATGAGAAAAATAATCGACTGTGTTTGGTCAGTTTCAGCTTAAAGCTTACCTCACCTATCGTAATCACTGATTAAAAGTGACTATAATTCTTATTTTATAATATCACCATATGCCTAAAAAGATGTAAAACTTTTATTTAATCTTCATATTTCTTGGTGGATAACATGCTATGCTTACGATATTCTGGTTCTATTCTATGCTATGTTTATGAAGTGTCGATAATACAGATTTTTAACATAAAGAAATAATTATTATATAGAATAATGTTTTTTATAATTATAAGCGGAAAATTTAAAAATAGTATAGATACATAATTTAAAAATGAACAGCGTTTCAACTACTTAAATATATTTAATGTAAAATTATGCTTTGCATGTATTATTATAGTTTCAAGATCGATGTTTAGATATCAAGGTCATCGAATTTTCAGTAATACATTGATTTCAGATGTATTATTGCACAGTACTCGGATAAGAAAGCTGTAGATATTGCACTGAACATGAATTTTTATAAGATAAATAATAAATTATACTTGATAAATTTATAAATTGATGAAAAAGAATCAAATCAAAAATCAAAAAAGAATAGATATTAGAGAACAAGTGGCGCGCGGAGCGCATGCTCCGTGTTGTATA